TATTTTTATAAATGTTTATTTTTTTATTTTTTTGTTATTTAGTATTTTGTTTTAATTCAATTATTGTAATATTTATTATATTTATTCAATTATTAGAATTATTTATAATTTAATCACAAATTACATTTTTTTCCTGAAATTAATCACGATTAATCGTGATTAATCCCACCTAACATTAAAGTTTTTAAATATACTTTTAGATTGCAATAATTTCACATTCAATCTTCAAATTAATGTAGACATAAACAACATAAAGCCAGTATATTTTTAATATTTGTTAAATTGCATCTTTTTATGACTGAAGACGAGTATCACTGATAACAATTCTACTGATGTCTCTAGGAAATTGTTATTTTTTTCCTAACATTTAACCATTGACTATAGCAATTCAACATTACAGTATAATTGAGAGCTATCAATTTGAACATTTATTAGACTTTAAAAATAACAACTTCTAATTGAAATTAATTTAAAACAATCTTCACATAAACCCATTATAATAAATGTCATATTTACCTGCGCCCTTGAGCAAGTAGGAAATATACATAAATTGAATAAAGTTATCAAACACTAAATTCTAAATTAAATATAGTTGAATCCAAAGTTATTGATTTCCTCTTTTTTTCGTTTGTTCTTTGAATAACAGACAACACAGCAGCTGGGTTATTAGGTGATTTGGTTGCTATTACTTTAAGAGCTGCCGCTGCTAAATGTGATGCGGATCTGACACACATGCTCATAGTTTCATTCGTGCTTTAATATGAAATGATACAGGCTACAGCGTGTGCCACTGTATTAGCACTGTATTATTACATGCAATTGAAGAGCATGCGCTACAAGCACAGTATAATGGCTAACAGCAGAGGCGTTCCTACATGAAGTGGGGGCCCCAGGCAAAATTAATCAGTGAGGCCCTTCTAAAAGATTTTAAAAAATTTTTTGTTAATGTATCTTTGTTAACTAGTGATAAAATTATACAACATATGAAATGTGGACAAAACACATCTAACAGTATATAATGCACAAAACAGGACGCGCGCTCTCTCTCACTCGGATGTGCACGCTCAAACCTGTGCACTCAAATCTATAGAATTGCCTTCTCTCCTGGAATTGATGTTGCCAGAAGCCCATCAACCACCGGACTTCCATGACTGACTGATGAAATAACAGAGTAAAAAAATTACGGATCCATCTTTGTTAGCATTTTCAAGCTGATTTTGGTCAGTGAATTCTCGTGATTTATTTTATTATTTAGCCTAATAGTTATTTGAATTTTGCATTAATGTGCTGATTATGACAGCACTATTTTACATACATTATACATACATATATATATATATATATATTAGGGCTGTCAATCGATTAAAATATTTAATCGCGATAAATTGCATGATTGTCATGAGTTAAAACGTGATTAATCGCAACTTAATCACACATTTTTATCTGTTCTAAGTGTACCTTAAATGAATACTTTTCCAGTTTTTAAAACTCTAATCAACATGGGCATGGACAAATATGGATGCTTTATGCAAATGTATGTTTATTATTAGTGAAACCATACTCAACATAGAGCATGAAGACTAGACATGTTTCATAGGTCATAGACGTTTTTCTTGTTCATGTCTATTAGACACATGAAAAAAGAACATAGAAATGCCAGGTTCCCATTACTTATCTTTCTTTGCACTGAGCAATTAACTTAAACAGGCCTGTTTACATTATTTGCAGGACAGGACAGCTCACTTCTGAACATGCAAAATGTACCTTTATTATTTATTATTACATTTGTTTGCCTCTCTGTGCCCACATACTGTAATTTGATGTAGCCAAATTCTCAATAAAAATGTTTTCATTGTTATATTTGACTGTTTCTGTTGTCAGACAATCGAATTAACATGAAATAGTGACTGAAACGAGACCCATTAAGATTACACCAGCTCTGCCTTCCAAGATGTTAATCTGCACAAAAATCCTGATTTATAATCGAGCCGTCGTCTGATGAAATCAAATACACATAAGATAAAGACAATAGCTGTGTTGTGATTTCGACTATACTTGCATGTAAAATTAGAGAAGCAACGATCTAGGCTGTGTTTCCCAAAAGCATCGTAAGTAGGGGTGGAACGGTTCGCGGAAAAAAATCGAACCAAAAATTATGTCAAAATGCCCGTCTTGGTAAGTATCCTATAGCAGACATAGCCGGCTGAACGTACTTACAGTGTCTTAAAGTAACAGCACTTTCTTAATATTAATCAAACAGCTAATTAAATAATGAATCCTTAAGTCACTGAGATTCTCTTTTCCACATTTTCTAGAGCATGACCCTGGACCGACTCTTTTTTAATGCATGAAAACACATTGTAGACTTCGAAACCGTGATACAAACCGAACCGTGAAGTTGAACCGTTCCACCCCTAATCGTAAGCTACATTGTACACCCTTTGAAACCAATGGAGCTACGATCAACTTAACCTTACGATGCTTTTGGGAAACGCAGAGTCTCCGGCGAGTCTCCGAAACTAAAAAAGGGTTGTCCAATTATGTGTTATGTATTGTTGCTAGGCACTTTTTTGAAAAAAAAAAAAATCTCTGAATCGCTGTGTAAAAAAAGAAAAGGGTTGACACTGACTTCACTTGAAAAGACTACCACGACAAAGAGCCCAAAACAGACTTGCTGCAGTAAGAAAGCAATAAAACATGATTAATAATTTAGCTTCTCTTTCTTTTCTCACAACTCAACACAAAGACACAAGTGAAGCTTTACACTGTGCTACACTAAACATGACAAGATAAGACATTTTAAAAGCTGCATCAAAAAAACTTCCAGTTTTCAAACTATAACATTAGCAAGTGCTACACATGGTACATAGTGAGATGTTATGATAACGCGTAAGGAGCAAAGATGCCATATTCTTTTCTTACAACATGGTGATAAAGTGGAAAGGCTGGAAGGCCTGAAAGGGGGCATTCCTGTAGCTCAAGCAGTCACAAATGGAGCTTGCAACAGCATGGTCATAGTTTGATTCCCAGGAAACACATGCACAAACAGAATGTATGAACCTTGAATGCAATGTAAGTTACTTTAGATAAAAGTGTCTGCCAAATGCATTAATGTAAATGTGTATGGTTTATTTGGCGATGTCTTTCACTCAGGCTAATTCACAAACCAAATAACAAAAAAGTTTGGGAGATAACTTACTGAATGCAGAAAAGAGCAACTACAAAAAAATGGCCAATAATTAGCTGGGACATTTACATGCTACATTCACTTGCAAAAGATAATCAGAGACAATTTCCATCCCTTAAGATCAAACCAAATACTTTTTTTTTGTGAATTAGCCTCTCTGAAATTCTGAAAAAGCGTGACAGACATCGCCAAATAAACCAAACACTTATACAATGCAATTATGTCCTTGCCCATAATGGTCCGGAAACATCAGCGTTCTTATCCCTAGGAGCTCTAGTTAACAACTTTTTTGCAACACGCTTTCCCCGCGGGCAAACACAATGAGAGTGACAAGCCTTCATTAAAGCATCCAAATTCAAATGTTATTCTTAGCCTGGGGAGCACTGAAGCCATATTAAATGAATTCATATGAGACAGGGCCTAGAAGAGAATGGAGCAGCATCGCCCTTCCATATCTAGTGCGCCACCACACAGGGTCTATTTCATATGCAACCTTCAGTATCGCCATAATCCCTGTGGACAAGCACTATTATGAATTGGAAAATGCCTAGATTTGCAGTTCTGATTAAAGCTTATGTATCGTGTAATTCAAATGCTTGAGTTGACAGACTGGAGATTGACTGGAGAGAATAAGTGACTAAATTCATGTTTGCTGAGATTTAACACCTTATGTGAGGGAAAAAGCGCTAATAGAAAACAGTGTATTAACTTGTGACGAGAAAATAATCTTTAAAAGTGCCGTTTTCGACACAGTACTGTATCTTGCATGGTTAAAATGCAATGTATCCAGACTATTGCGTATGATGAATTACCAAGTGTTACTGTGCTATGTTATTGGCTCCCCGGCAAGTGCAGTCTCTTACCTCAGGGTAAAAGGATTTCATGAATATTTTTAAGCTATGTACATATTGCAAATGTGAAATTCATGTATGTTTAATGCATGAGGCGTGTTACCGTTAAACGCAGAACACAGCAGAGTCAGCATGAACTTCTCTGTTTTAATCGATTGCATGCAGTTTCGTAGGGCGTAGATCAACATCTAGCATAGATCTTGGAATCTTTTCAAGCACATAGCAGTTTCTCACAAGCATTTCTGCAGCGCTTCAAGAATCTCCATTCCTCATACTTCCGAGAAAAAGCTTTTTCTTTTTATGTTATGGGAAACCTCAAGGTTATGGCGGTCAGGTAAATTAGCGATAATATGATGATGTAGTACCTTTTTCCTGTAGGTTGATGGCAATTTATTTCATTCTGGATGAAGCTAAAAAGATTTGAAAAGATAAAACCCATCCTAGCTCAAAGATACAGATGACCAATCTCTCATAGTGACTGTGCACGAGCAGCCCAGGTGCTGTGTCAAAATGGCTGGTGGAATTGGCCTACTCTGTCTATGGCATCTGAACACATTGCTCTGGACAGCTCCTGGCCAAGCTAGTCACAATTCAATTCCCTGACTCATTCATCAAGTACTTGGGGTGTTTGGGTCACAGGCTGGGCCAGCTCCCCATCGTCCCGTTCATCTGGAGTCCGCCAATGATAAGAAGGCATTAGTCTGCCTCTGCCAGCTCATCTGAAAAGGCTGGAGAAATCAGGCAGAATTTGTTTTCAGTTTGACAACCTCGCCCCAAAGCCAGATAGGAGAATACTTGTATAACACACAAGTTCACCATTTGGTTGCGTAGTTTGCAGGTGAAGGGTGCGACGCAACTAGATCGCTTGCTTGCATCGTAGACTGGAAGCAGAAACTGTGCAAAACATTAAGTGAAGTTGCTCAACATGCATCAAGGCCATCATAGAGACTACCAAGTCATACCTCATTGTGTAGAGAAGAGTTCCGTTGTCTACCAGCCGCAGGAGTTTATTGGGTGTAGTCATATTGTGGGCTACTGACTTCTTGCCATTGTGGAAGAAAGTATCCGGAGTCCAGATCTTGCTGGCGAGCAAGTTGTTAAGTGGAAGAACCTGCATAGGCCCATCAAACTTCAGCCTCTCATCCCGCCAACTTTGCCGGAAGAACACATCAATCGTGTATTCCTGGAGGAGAAAAAAAAAGAATTAGTCAAGACTTTCTGACAGCCTTTTTTAAACTTCACTTCACCCCCAAGTTTCCCCGTTCCTCTGATCTAATGTCCTCTTAGAGAGAAAGCCTGTGCTGGCATGTGAAGCTTTTCTCCAATCTCGGCAAATGACTCTAAAACGGGAAAAAGATTCTGACTTTTTCCTCAGACTTCACATTTAACAGATTTTCCTGTTCGGTTGCCCTTGATTGGGCGAGATGCTTTTCTCAGTTGTACACTTCAATTATTCATCGCACTTTAAGGAGAGATGCAGCCTTGTTGGTGTGAGATCCTTAAGGCTCCTTCAAAAGATCAAACTCGAATGATTGCGTTTTCACAGCTGTCGCTGGAGGGATAAAACAAGCTTTTTCCAAGAGTTATCTCTCTGACCATATTGCTAACATGGAACAGGGGACACTGTCTTCGGTGAACCTCCGCTGAGCTGGGAATAGGAATAATCTCAAATCCACAGTGATGAGTATTGCTCATGTTTTAAGACTTCCATTATTGATGAGGCAATCCTCTGCAGGTTCTCTATGGGAACAAACATCAAAAGAAATCTTATCTGCTTACATTTAATAAGTCATCCAATGCCATGAATAAAAATAGTGGCGAAAAGTTCTTCGGGAGTTAAAAATGAACGCTGAAATCTTTAGAACGCCACATTAATCATTGAGTGGGATCTGTAACTGAATCTTGTAACGGAGTATGTGACAGCAAACAATTACAGGACATGTCTCTTTTTTTGTTTTATGTTCTGCATTACAACCGAGAACTATAAGCTTTTTGTCACGCTTCACAAGGTCCAATTTGTTGGAAAGATATTTGGGAAGCAACAGACGGAAATCTATGTTGCTCAGTCAATCAGAAATGTCAAGAAGCTCTTGCACAAAGGGAGAAAACAAGTCAGATAAAACCACTCATTACAAATGCCTTCCAGCCTTCAGCAGAAGGTTTTGCCACGATGGCAGGAAATCATACTGGCTGCAGCTCAGTGAATGACGGGTTGAGTTTTCAGCATTAAAGTGTGTATACTTGTCATGTGTATGCCGGAGTACATCATTTATTTAGTAAGCTCCAGACTTCAATCTGAAGTTGTTTCGGATTCAAATTCTGCGGGTACTTTAGTTCCCAAGAAGTCGTCTGTATACCATCAGAAGTGAAAGCTGACACCAAATGACATCTACATCAGAAAGCACAGGAATGAGTTCAAGCAGGGTTTTCACAATCAAATTCAATGCTTACAATACCTGAGGAAATAAACCGAACACTATTTAATGCCAGAATAAACTCACACAATCTCAAAATGCATCATGTATCACAGATTGTTTTTCGTCACTACGACGGGCTGGGACACATATTTGACAAGGCCTTGGAACCTAACGCTGCTTATCAGCAAAACAGGGAGTGGAGCTGGAGCGGACTGATTACAGAATGCTTTGAGCGAGGAGGGGGAATTACTGTTGCTTCACTCCACTCCACTCACACATACTTCACTCAGAGTCCCTTTAACTCAGTAGAGTAAATCTAGCTTAATCATCTTCTGTCTTTCCATCCTCAAATTTAAGAACTCTTCAAATGGTTAATATAATTAAAGATATTTTATAAACTATATAAGATAAGATAACTATATTAAGACATTTTACTTATTTTTAAATATTAATGAATTACATTTTTTTTTAAAATACCGTTTAAGGAAGAAGTGTTTGTAGCCTATAAATTCATTCAAATATATTGGGTCAGGGGTGTGTTGTTATTTATTTAGATTTGTATTGTACAAAAAAAATGCTGTTTCTATTTTGAAGTGAAAAGTTAAAGTTAGACCTACACAGTAAAAAAATGATCAAAAACATAAAAAAAATGAAAAAACATAATTTTAACTGTAAACAATGTAAAAATGCTACCTGTTAATTCCCTTTTACAGTAGGCTACATGGTGAAAACCTGTAGGGGTGGGGATCTTTAGGCAGCTCACGATCCGACTGAATTCAGATGTTTCGTCCTGTCCTTAAGAAATAACTGTGTTTACATTAATTTCACATCATAAAAGCATTTTGTGATGCAAGTGCATTTATCCACTTACAAAGAGTTATGCACAGCTGCAGCTGTGAGTGAGCATCAAAACGAACACATACAAAGCACACATGAGCATTTGAAATCAGCCATCTGTCAATAAGTGAGTTTCATGATTCAAATTTACATTTTCAAAATCGATTCAGAATTGTTGTAGAGAAAATTAGGATACATCTTTCTTTCTTTCTTTCTTTCTTTCTTTCCCCAGAATTATTCTGGCAACCACAGATGGCAGTTTTTTTTTTTTTTTTTTTTGTGATATCTGCATAATACTGCATACAGGCTTATCCATGAAAGACAATATTTCTCAACAAAACATGACCAAAAAAAACAAATGCAAATATTGTACAATTTAAATAATGCAAAGGCCCTCTGCTATGAATTCATCACAAATGACACTTTGATGGATGGTGTAGTACACCGCCACTTCTGCTCAAGGTTTTTTTTTTCTAATTTGCATATAATTTGTAATAATATTTGTTCATAGCGAGTACCTACAATACTGATATTCCCTGCATGTAGATGTTAACTTATGAGTCAGCACTAACATGGTTTCATAAAGTGACAAATAAATACAGAACTATTGCTTTAAGGCAGATTGGAATGGGACAAGAAACAGAAGTTTACTGTTAATGAGGATGATTGTGACAAGGTGTTGGTGCAGAACAGAAATGTGATCGGACAAGCATGGACGTTCCCGCATTACAACCCAATAAGGGTCATTTGCTTGAAGCTTTTTCAGAGAGCTGTACAGAGAGCTGTTGTTTTGGTCAGACAAAGGACAAACACGTGCCATAGAGATAAAGCACTAGATGTTAGTGCACATGACCTGATGTGTCTATTCTGTAATCACAGCTGTGCTGATATAGAGCAACAGTTCGACAGCACAAGTGTTTGGAACTACTTCCTTCCACCACAGATTCAAATCTCAAGTTGACAGTTTAACAGATGAGCCCAAGCCTCTGTTACTAATTCAAAGTGTCACTTTAGAACTAGAATGTAGAGGAACGCAGAGTTGCTTTACTGAAATTAAAAGCTTATTGTATTATGTAGAGTATTATAAGAGAGATTCACTGTGCAAGTGTGATTAACTGCATCTGATACAGCATTCATTCTTCAGCTCCATCTCATATTCACAATAAAACATTAGTTTGAATGTCGTCTGAAGAAAGCGATACCTTTGTCGTACTATCCTTTCATCTGTTACGGGTGATTTCTGATGACAGCGCCGCTCGTTGTAGTTGTTGGTTGCGTCCTACGGTGCGTTTCTACTGGCACGTAGTGAGTGTTTTCAATTAATTCCTATGGAAGTTGAGCCTAAATGCTCATGCAGTGCATTATGGGATTGAAAGTGGCGCAGAGAAATCGCTGAAAGCGGCCAAGAGCATCAAAAATGTTGGACATTCCTCGACTTTATGCAAATATCGAGCTTAAAACGCCAGGCTAAAATCAATTGCCGTTAAAAGAAGATGAAATGCAAACAGGGTGTAAACATGGTTTTAAATTTCTAAATTTGACACGCCCCAAAGCAGTGGCGTTGTAGCGTTGCCAGCGGCACTGAGTGCAGATCTGACACTGTAGTGGAAATGCACCATTACAAGGTGTTGGTTGAAAGAAAGCAAAAATAATGTTGTTGATTTCAACCTTGTTTTGGTCCCTTTCAAAATAAAAGTCTTTGCTACTGACTCATTTATAAAGACAGTCCCTTGTCGCCATCGAATGGTCTAACAATGTAACTAAAATGCGAGACTTCCGGTTCATTAGCTGCTGTAGGGAAATAACGAGAAGAATAATGATGCGCAGTAAACAGTAAAACTGTTTGCACTACAAACCAGTGTGTTCATAATTAACATAATACATTAAAATAATATGGTAAGACACACCAGTTTGCAATATCAAGCAGTAAAACGAGCTGTTTTGTACAGTTAAAATTAGCTGGAAGCGGATAAGACCGGAAGCCAGACACATTAAATTTACAAATTGCCGTGCCCACGCTTACAGGAAAAAATAAGATGGATAGAGACATCAGAGCCAGAGACAAATTCCAGAACAGCTGGCCGAGGTAAAAATGTTCGCACCTAGTTCATGAGCTTTGAATAGCCGCTAACATCCTGGAGCTCACATCTCTGAAAATATACAAGCAAATTTTCAAATAGGCACTATCTTTTAAGTTTAAACAACTACGTTCTTGCCTAGTCACTTATTTTATTTTAGAAACAGTATGTTGACTTTATAATATGACTAAATTTCTCACACAGTACAAACGGTTTTTAATCATGAAAATATATATATATACACCGTATTGACCCAAATATAAGATGATGTTTTTTTCTTGGAAATACATCTGAAAAAACGCGGTTGTCTTATATTCAGGGTCTAGACTTTAACATGTCAATAATACACCCACAACAATAGGTGGCGCCAGCCACGCATAAAACGAGTGTGCCATGAAATACGTAATGTAATGCGTGTTGTAAAGATCGCGAGTAAAAACAAAAGAAAAAGAAAACCTTACAGCTGCATGAGCCGTGACTGTCACGTTTTTTCAAACCCAGATTTGAAGACTACAGTAAGATTTAACTTCTACTGTTAATAAGATTTTGGTAGGCTACTATTAGATGGATAGCCTAAATGTCCTAATTCAGATGGGCTACCCGTTTTTTTTTTTTTAAATGGTATATCAAAAAGTGTATATTTTTAAAATGTGATTGTTGATACATTTTTCCAGTTTTTACCATACTTTCAAAACAAAAATTAAAATAGGAAAAATATGCAATATGAAAATAATTGAAGACAAAATGTGTTTTACTGAGAAAAAACAAGATCTGGTTTTTAAAAAGCCTTTTTCCAAAAGGTACATCTGGAAAAAGGGGGGTCGTCTTATAATCAGGGTCGTCTTATATTC